TATTCGTTTTTTAATAATTCCATCCTATTAGTTGTGCTTTAGTTCATAGATTCAGGAGCTGTAAATGGTTAGGTTTGGTTCGCAGGAACAAGTAGATAGGACGTGATAGATGCAGACACTATGCAATTAATTAGCCATCCGCCCAGTTGTTTCTCTACTCCAAAACCTTTCGGGGAACGACGAATTTGGCACTTCATCTAGTGCACGCATTGCTCCCGACTAATCGGTAATAGTCAAAGAAATCCCAGACTCTGTCCAACCATAATGTTTTTCCACGCTTAGTGTTGGGTGCGTAAGTCGTATTTACAAAATAAAAGCGAACTATTTCTCAATTTTCTCTACAGGAGAATCTATCTTGAGCGTTGCATTACTAACATCACAAAGTTGAGGATGGACAACTTTCTTTGACGAAAATTAATTTTACTCAACAGTAGGCTTAAGGTTAGTAAGACAAATCAAAGCAACATGAACCGGTTACATCCTATATATCAACAAGTCCAATAACAGTGAGACTCATGGACTGTTTGGTTTTGGCACGGGCTATCTTAGTCAGACGAAAATCTTTTCCATGCGACTTTCCTTCGGTATTTAAAGTTAGCGTAATTTCCTGTCTGGCAAGTATACAATAAACGGATAGTATAAAAAGTTGGGGACTTACAATTGATCAAAATGTTTCTGTTTAGGTTAGAGACGGTTGCAGGTACTACAGTTTTGACACCGCCCGTAGGGCTGATGGTGTCAAGAGTTGGTAAGCACTTTATTCCGTTCATGAGCACAAATCCATATCTCACCAGTGCCTTTCCGTCCTCGTCTACTAGTAGTTGGTTCTGACTGTAGATGCCTTTATCACATACATAATAGTTCAACGCCTCTTACAAACTATTGGAAATAACAAAATAGGCTTTCTCATCCAAGTTAAGGGTTCTGCATTTTTAAGTTGTGTACCATGTAACATTAATGTAAAAACAACTATTAGCATTTCATTATTCCCTCAGGTGGTAATGTCTGGGACTTCTATAGAACATTGTCTCTTTTACCCTTTAGTTTGTGTGCTTCTTTGCACTCTTTGAGAAAGTGGGGTATGAAAGTTAATTTTCGAACTGGAGACATTTGGTATTAGCTCACTGCAGCGGTTTTAGAACCCAGCGAGACGACATGCTGTGTACATGCATAACCAGGGTACATTTTCACACAGTGGTTCCCCTTGCTGTCCACAGGAAATCATCTCGATACTGGTTGTGATAGTATAGGCGACCATGTTCGCGGTGTGTTCACCTAGGTGACGCTTCGGCAGCGAAATGAGGCTGTGTGGACTAAATCTAATACACACCTGACGGCGGTGGCTTACTATCGGCATTCATTTAAACCTAGTTCCTGAATATCAGGTGTGCTCTGTGCTCATCTATTTGCATTGGTCCGCTTTTTGCGTACTTATTAACTCGGCCTCAGGCTTGCTTAAGACGGCCAGGTAAACCTCAGCCAACAATTGAGTTAGTCCAAAAAGTTCATATTTCCTAACCTAAGTGACTGTCAGAGTAATCACATCGGTCATAACTGGAATGTAAGCATTTAATAATTTAGACTAAAGAGTTGGATGGAGTATCCAAAAGATACTACTGAAATACGCGTGGTAGGGAATCATCTCATCACCAGGTTGTTAATAACGTTTGGCTTACTGCTAAACGTGAACCTCCGTAATAGTCGTTTTACGTTCCTTATTCCTAATGACCGTCCTTTCATTCATTCAGGAGTGAAATGCATGCTTGGAATGTGAGCACTGTAGTTCGGTTAATTTTTCACGCATTTTAACTTTATGCAGGTAACTTTCACCGACAACTCTGGGGGCAAATGGCCTGAAACATAGAACGATACATTCCAATTCCTCCGTTGCGCTATCCGCAGTAGACTTTTTATCAGCTTTCTGGGAAGGATCAAGATTTGGATTTATATGCATAATCCTCTGATTTGCTAATGACACATCTTCAGTAGTCCTACTGTTGTGTATGCGTCATGAGTCATTATGGACGAACTATTGCGCTGTGTGCATTGTCGGCCTACTGTGAGAGTGAAGGCCGTTTTTATTAAATTGATGATATTTTCTTTTCTCTCCCGCCTTCCCTATACTTGAAAAGGCATCCTAGCCCTTGCTTAATCTCTAAGAAGCACAATACTTCTATGCTTCTGTCTGTGGGTCTCAAGTCAAGTCAAGCTAACAATGCGCTGTATGCACCCTTGGAGAGGGAATATGTAGCTACAACACACGCTAAGGGTACGATTGAAATTAAAGAAAAGTATGATATATGTACATGGTGCGCCACCAATTTGCGAAGGTGGCAGTGGCGATATCACCGACTACGTTTGGCGATAAGGTCTTGTATGACTATGTCTTGATCCCTCAGAAAAGGCGACAAATATGCAACAGCTGATGTACCGTAAACCGAAGAAGTCGAGATACATTCAGACCGTACACAATGGAGTGGATGATACGTATCAATGAGTATTTTGGAAGACAGTTTTTCACAGGAGCAAACATGGTTGTACACAGCGATGTCGAGCTGGATGCTTTAGCGGCCTGTTGATTATCATGAATTGCCCATTTAAGAATTCAGCAATAATCACAGGTGAGCGGTACGTGCAGTGCGGTATTACGCAACTAGTGACAAACCGAACGATCGAGTAACGAGGCACAACTGAAGACCTAAGTCGGGAGACGTAGAACGTTGGTCTCCTGATTTTTGTGAATTTTTTCATTCATGTGTGGTACCCAAGTGAGATCCAGACTTAGTGTAACTACTAGGTATTTCATAAGTATAAGTGCTTGAATTGGCACCTTCAGTAATATGACGCAAGGTGTGCTTCAGGAGCTCTTGATTCCAATTTTTTCTTGGACAGCGAGAAAATACCGCCTTTACACCTTGATGCGTTAAAAGAAAAACAGCGGAATTCCGACCAGGAGATGAAGTTGTCCAAGAAGCATTGCAAACTGGCCACTGCGTCTGCTGTGTGATTGTGCACACCAAATTTCACATCATCAGCATACTTTAGTAGGATGACTTCCCTTGGAGCCGGAATGGAGTTAACATAGGTGGAAAACGGGAGTGCGTACGAAATAGCTCCTTGAAGAACACCTGAATTTGGGGAAAGTGAGGAAGAGCTTTTCCCCTCCGATTTGGTAGACTGCATATAATTTGGAAAATAGTCTGTAAGAAAAGGTGCTAATGAAGATTGCACGCCGGAAACGATCAGACCGTATAACAGCAGCTCGCTGTTGCCACTTGCTGTGCTATCGTTTTATTAGCTTACTTGGATGATACAAGCAAAACCAGAGTTTCGTCTGAGTTCAACACAAGTTATACATCTTCTAAAACGTTTAACTCTTGCCATCTGTTGACAGGAGATAGCCAAAATGCGAGCTGCTCGAAGATTGTGGGCAAAGTTAATAAAAGAAAAATTCAACGCGACTTCCCAGAAGTCTCTGCTGTTACGCGCACACAGCCAAACGTCCGGTTGGTCTCTGACGGAACAGGTATGTCGAATGTGCATTTTTTGTTCTAGTCCTTGTTGCCGTGTGAAGCACTTCAATGATTTGCTCATCACCATACCTGGCACATTATCTTACGTTCAGAGACGGGTCATAAAACGGCTTTGTTGGATCCAACGCTCGAAATTTAGGCTCACATTCAACTAATTGATCAGGAACAAAATTATGAATATGTATAGCTATGATATAGATACAGTAGTGATAACGAACCAGCAACACAAATATGTGCTTTAGTATATTTGCGGATTACATACGATACCTTGGCCTGTACTTCAAGCTTATGAAATGCACTTGTCCACATTCAGGCAATCGGTTTTACTCAAAACGATCCGTGGCCAGTTGCGGTATAGCTATGTTTTACCGACAGTAAATATTCTCTTTAGTATAATTTAATGAATAATTTGTTTGAGAATGTTGTAATGTAATCATCTTACGCCGCTGGCTTCAGTTGAAACGTTCCAACAGGCCCTTTCAAAGAAATCTGGCGATGTGTGTTCCTAATATGTAGGAGGATTTTTGATTGCATTTTACTGACTCCTAGTAGTTTACAAGCAGATAGTCTAACTGCAATCCGGAAAAACCCCACTGGTGCTCATCTGCAGGGAGCGCGGCGGTAAGCGACTGGGACGAAGAAATAAACAGATGTCTTTTGCAATCATGATTGCGCTTATGCTGATACTCCTCTGAGAAGCAAAACGAAGATTGGGCAGGGATTCGAAATCTGTTATTGAGGAACTAAGTATCATTTCATACTGTATACAACTTTGATTCAACACTTTACTGAAGCGCATTTTCAATGGCTGGTCCTTGTTAGCTGTGCGTCTGAGTCCATTGGCTCGTACTCATCAACTGTTCGCAGCTGTTTGCACCAATCCCATCCTAACTAGAACTAACTTGCAGTTTGGTCACAAAACCCCAAACCAGTTCTGAGCTGTGAGTCAGGCCCATGTAACTCGTCCTGTCAAGTTGCGCTGGCGGTTTTGATTGGCTTTCCAGTCCACTGACCGTGCATCAGTTTTGTTCGCGCAACATACCAGCTGCCATCACGGCAGTAAGAATGTGACACCTATGGCCAGATGACTTAGTTTGCTGCCCCCAATGATATAAGGATTCGTCTGAATTCAGTGGAATTCATGGAGGATAACGACATTACATTCGCCTTGGGTAAATGAAAGAAGTGTTGATGCTAGGGTAAAGGTATGGTGGGTTTCAAGCTGAATCCTTCCGCAATGACCCAAAAATTTACTGATGTGTTCAAAACAGTTCAAAGAAACACTAGTGTAAAACGGGGTAAAACCTAACGCTTTACTGATTCCATATGATGATCAGGACTAATAGTTCAAAGTAAACGAAAATATATATGTAGATTTGAGTGAGCACTGGGGAATGAACCGAAATATTCTCATGGTATTAAGTATACGCCTATCTGGTTGTAATTTAGGAACACGCCGGTTAGTTGAGTTATGTAGCTGTTAGCCAACACAAGATGTAAAGTGAAATTCAGTTGGTGCCATGCTTAGTCAAGTCGTTTGACGAATACCCTAAACTCGTGGGGAGATGCCTCGTAGGCTGGAAGGAGGTTTATGGCCAGCTCACTCAAACTGTAAGGAAAATCAGCATTACTCCTAACGCCGGTTACAACAGCCCGACGTGTTGGTTACCAGTTTTCAAGGAATTTTTAGACTGATTAGGACAATCTAGATTAACCTTAACCTGCAAACTTAGGTTGCATTGGACGGAATCTTGCTCCAGTACTTGCTTTCCGAGCCCGTATAAGTCGTTATTCTGATGTCGTATGGGCAGTGCCTTGCTTTTAGTTAGCTTCCTTCTCGGTGCATTTTGATTGACCATTGTTGTACTGTGTCTAGTTCATTCGGTAGCAGATGCTAGTCGGTATTCCCTTGCATTCTGCATCAAAACATATTATCGTCGGCAAACAGGAGGAAATCTGAAACGTTTGCTTGTGTGAGGTTATTATAACTACTAAACATGCGGGTCTCTTGAACTGAGCCCTGATGCACACCACAACCGAATGTATGAGGTCAGGTAAGGAGCTGCGACCCATGACCATTAACTACCTATAACGGCCAAAGTAGGTAATGGAGCTTAATAGAGCGTCCGCGATCCAATAAAACTGGAGCTTATAAAGAGTATCCTATGATCTAGACGATCGATTGCCTCGGAAAACTGCAGTTTATAACAAAGCTAGATTACAAAAGACACGCTTTGGGTCCAGCACCTTCTTCTAGACGTCAGTGCATCAAAACGCTACTAGCATTTCTATTTATTATAATGCATTTTGCCTCTTAATGTAGCCTTACAGATTTCCTCAATGCATGCAGGAAATATGTTGATGTCTACAATGTTAAAATACTGTGAATAGTTTCAAAGAACGCGCAACATTCCGTGTACTTTTTAACTGCAGGTTGGTGATTTACTCCTACTTAACCAGAGATACACATCGATTATTGTACGCCTTATACTGCTAAAACATGTTTTTTGTTTAGCTTCGTATAATATCCCAAATAGACACCACTAGAAATACTTTTTTCTTCGGTTCTTGCCTACTAGCATGTGTCACACTTTATTCATCCCCGATTCTTCGATCCAGTGTCCTCGGTAACCGATCAGACCATCTGCGTCTGGGTAACAGTTTACTGACGTTCCTGGGGCGATCACACAGGTTGTTACTCAGCCTGAACTCTCTCTTTCATTCGAAATATCCTACCTACTTTCAAGGGCCACTGCCAATTAGTCGATTTCGATTTTTGGTTGGGAAGATGACGTTTAACCTCGTGTTGACATGTGCTCTTAAATGTCTCATCAAACCTACGACCACCCAACAAAATTAGCTCTTGTTACCTCATTTGCTGCTTTCCCTTCTAACTCAGGTACCGATAAGTATGAGCATCTGCTTTTGTGCTGAGTTCTCGAGCTCAGCCGTTTTAGCTGTTTGTCTGTCACTTCATGCCTATATCCTTGCATCGGTTACAAGGTAACATGTGTTTATGCTAAGTTTTGCAGGAAACCGCAACTAAGAACGCTCCTCTATGTAGGTGGTTACTTTTACGCCTTAGCCTTTCAAATCGGCCGCATGCAATAGTAGCACATACTTACTAAACCCGCTTACTATCTGTCTTCTTTCATCAGGATCCTTACAACAACATCATCCGTACGACGGTCGAAGCAATGGCTGCTGTGTTTGGTGGTACGCAGTCGTTGCACACGAACTCGTTCGATGAAGCTTTGGGATTACCGACGAAATTCTCCGCACGTATCGCCCGTAATACTCAACTCATATTACAAGAGGAGACGCACATAACGAAGGTGGCCGACCCATGGGCCGGGTCGTTTATGATGGAATCATTAACTGACGAGATTGAGAAGTCAGCTCTGAAAGAAATTGAAGAGGTCAGTTTGGTTCACCTGAGTGCGCTTTGATTCATTTCCGGCATTTGCCGCCGTAGTTAGGCTGTTTGCAAGGTTTCACAGAAAAGGTCAATTTTGTAGCATGCTCGCCTAGCGGATGAGGTGGTTTTGTTTCCCAAACCGGCTCACTTCTTCCGTTTATCCAGACCACGCGACCCCAGTGGTTATTTGAGATGGTCATGGTTCATAAAGAAGAACGGCACGGGTGCTGAAAGCTACAATCAGGGTAGAACTCGGCATAGCTTCATGGCATTTATGAATAGCCTTTAAATGAAACTAACGGAGGATGCTGAGGGTATGTATCCAGCATCTCAGAGTCTACCAGTTAAGCTGGGAGCTTCAATCACAAAAATCTGATAATTTGCCAGTATTTTAACCCAATTATTGGTATCATACTGATGTTTGAATAACTGGGTATTATATCTACTACTACTTTCTGATGTCCAAGTAAGTAGTGAACTAAAGTACTAAGTGAAAACTCTGCCTAACCTTGCTTATTCTAGCACCACTGCATTTTTGTAAACTGAAGTTTCGGGTTATAAAACATCACTACCTTTTCTGGCCCTTGCGTAAACAGTCAAGATACTGTAGATGATCAGTGTTACTAGTTATTCTCCTCAGCGCATGAATGAATGAACGAATGAATTCCTTAAGTTCAGTAGGCTTTGAATACAACACGATTATTTTATAAGTGTGTTTTTGCTAATTTTTGAATTTGAAGCAAAAGCTTCCTCAACTGCGACGAACCCGTACAGATTGGATTACACTGACAGCTTACGCCTAGGCATTTGTAACTGTTTAACACTCATCTTTCAGAATGAAAGTGTATACGAGAGTGCTAAAGCGTATAAACGTTGCGGCGCTTCCGATTTCATTTTCTGTGGTCAAAACGGCATAATTAATGTAGGGGATAACAAATAATCAGAGGGAGCCGAAGGCTGAATCTAACGATGGGGAACCGTGAAAGCGACATTATTGAAATTAGTTGTCGAAAACCAGCATGAATTCCTGTACGTCAGCCTATTAGAACCCAAGGGGCAGGCGGTAACTT